GTGTGGAACATAAGACGAGTTCCTCTGTGAGGAACATAAGATGAGTTCCTCTGTGAGGAACACAAGATGAGTTCCTCTGTGAGGAACACAAGATGAGTTCCTCTGTGAGGAACATAAGATGAGTTCCTCTGTGAGGAACACAAGACGAGTTCCTCTGTGAGGAACACAAGATGAGTTCCTCTGTGAGGAAAACAAGACGAGTTCCTCTGTGAGGAACATAAGATGAGCTCCTCTGTGAGGAACATAAGATGAGCTCCTCTGTGAGGAACACAAGATGAGTTCCTCTGTGAGGAACACAAGATGAGTTCCTCTGTGAGGAAAACAAGATGAGTTCCTCTGTGAGGAAAACAAGATGAGTTCCTCTGTGAGGAACATAAGATGAGTTCCTCTGTGAGGAACATAAGATGAGTTCCTCTGTGAGGAACATAAGATGAGTTCCTCTTTGAGGAACATAAGATGAGTTCCTCTGTGAGGAACACAAGATGAGTTCCTCTGTGAGGAAAACAGGAGAAATGGTGAAGAGTTGCTTCAGGACTGCAGCTCTCACATAAAACAACATCAGAGATAATTTTATTTTCTCTGCAGGAGTGACAGGAGAGAAATAAGACCTGTGTTGTTGTTGTTCTGCCTCTGCAGACCTCTTAATCTGTGCTGCTACTTCTTTTAAAAGTATCGCCTCATTGTTTTGATTTAAAACACATAAAACTGAAGATCTAATGAATAAAGTCCTGCTCTCATCCACTCTTCACTGCCACCAGTCTCCATTCAAATTTCACCTGTTTTTATTTTCCTCTTCCTGTAGATGTTTTACTGTTTGTCAGATAACTGAGCCTCGGTTATAAAGGACGTCTGAGGGCTTATATTCTTACGGTTTAGAGAAAGATGAGACTGATGATGGACAGCTGTGTTTTTTACACGAGATTAATGTTTCCTGCTGCCTTCAGCTGCAACACGCTTCAAAATACAACGTTTTACATTTTTATGCTCATTTCTTTACTGATGACTCAGCAAGCTGCAACCTGTGGTTTTACCTGTGGTTTCCATGGAAACAAACAAACAAACAAACAAACAAACAAGGAGCTCCTTCCAAGATGGCGGACATGAGTCTGACCTGAGGCCATCAGTGGTCTTGTTGGTGTTAATTCATGTTAGAAAGTGAGCATGAAGGTCCTGAATGAAGCTGAGAACCCAGAACCCATCGAACTGGACCCAGGTGTCATCAGTTCTGTGCAATAATCTTAATCCGTCTGCTAGCTTGTATGCTAGCTGTTAGCTCAGTTTTTACACGAGCCTCTAAAACTACAGCTTTAACTGTTTCTGCAGCCAGGCTGTGAACGAACCGTTTCCCTCTGGGAGCCTGAGAAACGGACCTCCGGTTTCAGAACCGGGTCCTACCTGCAGGTTCGGAGCTCCTCCCTGGTTTCCGGTTGGTTTCCAGCAGGTCGATGGTTTTTTCAAACTCGGAGAAGATTTCTTCAGCAGCAGCTGTCAGCCGCTGGCTGATGAACTCCCTGAGGTGCTGAACTGAAGACATGATGAAGACAAACACCTGGGACAGGCTTCACCTGTGGGGCTAACGCTGTTAGCACCGCCGCCGGAAGTCACAGCAGCGACTTCCGGCAGAGTTAGCTGCCGCTAGCATTAGCGTGCTGCCAGTTTAACCCAACCCTAAGATGAAACGGAGACAACAGGACTTCAGTTTAAAGGTTTAGTGTTTCATTCAGGAAGTGTCGCTTTTCAAACTAACAGGTAGCTGCCGCGGGACGCCATGTTGGACAGGGCAACACTGATAGTTCAAGTAAAAGCATGTCCGCCATGTTGGACAGGGCAACACTGATCGTTCAAGTAAAAGCATGTCCGCCATGTTGGACAGGGCAACACTGATCGTTCAAGTAAAAGCATGTCCGCCATGTTGGACAGGGCAANACACTGATCGTTCAAGTAAAAGCATGTCCGCCATGTTGGACAGGGCAACACTGATCGTTCAAGTAAAAGCATGTCCGCCATGTTGGACAGGGCAAACAAAAAGCTGCGCTTTGAATAGGATTAAAGCTTTAGTTTTTAAATGGAAAACTTAATAGTTAAATAACCAAGCAGTGAAAAAAAAAACATTGTTTCTAGTAAATTATAAACTTCAGAGTCAAACAATAAAAACTGATCTGTCAAAGAAGTTTAGAGTTAGTGACCTAATTACTGACATGGGGGTTAAATGACACTTCATTGGTTTAAAGCCTGGAAAACACTCATTTTCTTTGGATTATTAAAATCTTATAGTATGGAACTCTAACCGTAGACAGAAACACTGAGCATCAAAATAAGAAATAAAATAATGTGATAGTATTTTTGTATAACTCCAGCCTCTGGGCCTTCTCCCGTTGACGTGGGTTTCTCTGTAGAATTTAACAGAACAATCAGTGAACAGAAGCTGATTTTCTGCACTGTTGTAACGACGCAGCAGGAAGTGACTGAAGCCAGTCAGTCTGTGCTGACAGCACTTCCTAATTAAATTAATTATTCACGCAGCACTCGTTTACAGTCACCTCGTTCAGCTCAGTGCTTCTCTCTTCCCAGGAGGGGACGGTTGTTTACAGTGCACACAACTTCCTGTTAGCTTTTTAGCTTAGCTTCCCTCATGGTTGAGCTGCACTACATACATTAAAACACCAAACGTTAGTGATTGAACTTCAACAGAGTCAGACTCTCTGCACGAAGCAAAGAATAGAACAAGGTCTGGTTTTTACCAGACTAACTAAACTCATTTAAAATTTAAAGTGTCTGTGAAATCACATTTTTTGTAATTAAGATGAATGTAGTTTTGGAAAGATAACATTGATAACATGTTGGAAAACAAATGTCACGTCGCTGAGATGAACGGTTGTTGGGATATTTGCCTGTGAAGAAACAGGAAGTGATGTCAGCATGTAAACAGAGCGATGTTATAAAACCAAACAACACAGCCTGTAGAGAAGAACCTGATGTTTCTTTAGATTTTTAGTTGCTATCGAAGAGAGATGAAGAAGAGTTAAAGTTTAAATAATTTTGTTTTAATGAACCGAGACCAGCCAGTTCATTTTATTAATGAGTTCCCCTTTGATGTCACTTCCTGTTTCACTTTGGCTGAGCCAAATTTATTGGAAATAGGCTGGTTATGTGACAAAATGGGTAAAATCATATATACTATGCCCTTTTTCTTAAGTATAATATGTTTTCTTTGACATTTTGTTTTTGAAGGATAGACATGTCACGTACACTTTAATTAAGATGCAGCAGAATCTGAACATTGTTACTCTACAAACACAACGGCTGAATCATCACACAAAATCCTGAAGAACAACACAAAATATGTATAAATAAATAAAATATTATTAATGTTCTTTGAGTTGAGTTTAAACTAATTTCTCGATTTTAATTTGTGTCACAGCCAGCAGGAAAAACAACAACAATAAATACAGCAAATAGCATGAAAACTATCATGGTAAGGGCTCATCTCCTAACCAACATAACTCTCAACAAGTAGCATTTAAAAGGACAACAGCAGGTAAGAAGGAACTCAAACCTGTTGGTTCTGCAGCTTTTTAAAGCAAATTTAAAAGAGAAAATTAAACAGAGGCTCAGATCTGTTTGTGTACAGATGTTAGTTAGTGTATACATTTGTTTTTCTGTCAATAAAACATACCAGCAAATCAAAGAAAAACAACAGATTCAATAAAACATTGTCATAAAACATGTTCAAGTTAAAGTTCCTTCATTTAACATAAAGGTGCAAACGTTGGTTTCTTGGGTACAGTGTCCATGTTTATTAAGAGAGAGTCTGTTAATTACAGTACCATGATATTTATATTTCTGCACAACTTCAACGACCTGATCATTAAAGTACACGTTGCTGTTTTTCCTGAATTCAATAATAATTTCTTTGGTTTTTCTGACATTTCTGTCTAAAAAGGATGATTTACACCAGTTAATAAAATGTGACAGCACCGGGCCACGGTCAGGATCATCTGACTTTAAAAGAGACACAACGACGAAACCATCAGCAAACTTTAAAATCTGCTGCTGTGTGAACTGGTTCTGACACATGTTGGAGAGTAAAACTACAGTGGGACAGAACACAAAACACCACTGACCCTGACACTGGGATCCATGAACCAACATGCAGCTCTGGAACAAAGAGACCGCCTTAAAATGATCAGTTTCTGTGATTTACAGCCACATGTTAGAGTAAATTAACATTGTTTATTTTATTATATGAACTGACAACATGTCTCTGAAAATCCACATATTTAGTTTTTATTTGCAGAAAATGAGAAATGGTCAAAATGAAGACAAAGATGCGGAGCTTTTAAACCTGAAACAATGCACAGAAAATAATAAAATAAGTCCATATTCATTTAGAATCCTGCCAACAACGCCAACTTTTATGGTAATATTTACTCAACAAAGACAGAAATACGTGGTCCAAGAATGAAGGTACTCCGTG